GTTTAGCTGATCCTTTGCTTAATAAACTATATTTTACAATCTACCGTGAGTGGGTGCACATAGAGTAACAAGTCAAAAGCAAACAAATCATATAATGGCTTAGTTCATTGTGTACAAGTTTTTTTTATTTCAGATAAAAGTTCTGGGGTGAGTTAAAGAATTTAGCAGAAGGATTTCCAAAGTTCACCCTCCTAATCCCATCGGTGCTTCAGAACCATCGTAGACAGTTACAGCTCTGTTACTTGCGGTTAACCGACCCATACATGACCCTGGGTTTATAAATTGATGCATCACATTGAATTATAAATCCTCCCCCCTATCCTAGATTTACACAACATGCTAGGCCACAATGTGGATGGCTAATTGAAAATGTGCTTGGCTGATTTAGTGTGTTGCATAAATACTGCTTGAGCTATAGATCTCCACTTTTCTTCTTCAAAAACAAATGTTCTGCACCTTTAATATAATGTTCCTGTTCTTGTTGTTTGTAAACAAAATGTATGTTTCATAAAATGCCTAATTGTGGTACTTCTGTTTATACATTTGATTGCTTTACTTTGCTTTGGTAGGTGAGAATTCAGACAGAAGCACAGTATCGTGGAATATGGCATTGTATGAGAGATATATATAGAACTGAAAGGGTATGTATCTAAGAATAGTATCTCTAACTATCATGATCAAAGAATCCATTTTTTTTTGCTTTATTACCTCTTAAAAAGCCTGACAATATTCACAAGGAAAATCTATAGATTTGTATGCAGTTCCAAATAATTAAAAAAAATAGCAAATTCATTCTACAGCTGAACACATGCCAGCTGTAGGGAACATTTCCTCTATTACCTTTAGACGTCAGTTCCCATCAACTGCAGCCAAGATGGCCAATGATGAGGTATTATAGAAGTTGTAGTCCAATATCTCTTAAGTTTATTTACATTTATTTACATTACTCCTCATACATTTCTATTCCGCAATTCTAACCAGTTATAATACATGTCCCATACCTCATAAAATTCTGTAGCTTCTTTGTCTTTTATTTCTAAGGAAAGTTTGTTCATCTCAGCACAGTCTAATATCTTACATACAATCATTGCATTTGTTGGTATGTTCTCCCTTTTCCAACACTGTGCATATGCAATGCGTGCTACAGTTATAATATGTATAATGATGTATTGGAGTCGTTTCTCTATTTTTGGGTTAATTATGCCTAATAAAAATATTTCAGGTTTGAGTTCAATTTGTTGTTTTGTTATTTCCTATAGCCATCTTCTTATCTGCTCCCAATAGGTCTTTGCTTTAGGGCA